AAAGCATGTCCAGCTCTCCCAGATCTCTGTGGTCCTCAGGGCTCCATGGCTTGTGGAACCTCCCCCAATCTCTACCTCCATCTTCCCACAGCTTCTCCTGTGACTGTGTCCAAATCTCCCCCTACCTCTCGGTGGCACTGGGGATGGAATCCAAAGCCTTTTCTCTGAGCTACATCTCCAAGCCCCTTTTTATTTTATTTCATTTTGAGACAGGGCCTTATTAAGTCAATAAGCTGCACAGGCTGGGCTTAAATTTGTGTTTCTCCTGCCTCAGCCTCCCAGAGTGCTGGGACTGCAGACCTGCACCACCACACCCAGCTCAAATCTCACCCTTCCATAAGAACGCCGTCATGGTGAATTTAGTAGCCAATCCCACCAGGCGAGATCTCGTCTTAACCGATGATCTCACCAGCAGCCCCTTTCAAATGAGGCCCCACTGGGAGGTACATCCTGGGAAAACAAGAAAGTTCCCCCTCGAAGAACTCTCTGAGGCTGGCAGGTGACAGGGAAGCACAAATGTTGCCCATGAACACAGCCAACACTGCAGAGCTCGAGGTGCAGCACATGGCACCACCCAGCCACCCCAGGCAACACGGCCTCATGAAGCTCATGCTGCCTGGGCCCCACCATGGGCAGTCGCAGGCCAGGGCTGGAAAAAGCTCACAGGACAAGGGCCTGCCACAGCCTCCCACCACAGCCAGGGTGACAGGCTCCTAAGAGGCCCTGTAGTGTCCCTCTGGGAAGCTGGCCTGGCTCCCTCAAACCTCAGGCCCTCCAAGGATGCAGTCCGCTGAAGCCCCTCAGCCTGCACAGACCCCACATAGGCTGAGCAGAGAGCCTGAGTGGAAGCCAGCGAGAACGCATGACAGACAGCATTACATTTAACATGTAAATGGGTTTGGACGAGGTTTACAATTATTCATGCTGCTTGCTCTGAATTTGAAAGCTGCCCCATCTGATCTATCACCTCTGTTGTTGTAAGGCGGTCTCTGGCTGATCGGTTCCTGGCTACCTTTTCTGGGTTTAAATCCTGACAGCAGCCCAGGCTGCAGCTTTCCACGTTGCTAGCTAGTCATGCCAGCGACACTAGGATTGGGAGGGGGGCACTTTGATTCCCAGAGGGAGGGATTGGCCAATGGGCCCATGGGTGGACGTGGGGCAGCTAGCATCCAAGGACCTCTGTCCAAAGTCTTAACCAAGGCAGACCCCACAAGGAGCCCCTGGGGTCTAATGCTAGAGGCACCTTCACATCCTGCCCTGCCTCTCCCTGTCATGCCCCTCACTGAGACCAGGAGCTCAGGTCGGTGCCACTCAGAGTCTGAGTGGTTTATCATATGCCTGTGTCCGGGGGATTGGACACAGCCTCTAGGGACATATAGATGGACTTTTCACACAGTGGTCACAAGAGCAAATCCAGACCGAGTTTTGAAAAATTAAGTTGAGCAATCAAGGAAACAAAAAAGTTTAAGAGAGGAAAATACTAGAGGGTGATTTTGCAGTTTGAAGAGAGGGCCCAGACTCCTGGGTGGGGTGAGGCGTGGCTTTGGAAAAGAAGGGTTCTCTTTAAAAATACATGAGAAAAGGTGTTAGAAGGAGAGATGGTTTCAGTTGTTCTGGCAAACAAAGATTTATGCTAACAAAAAAAAAGAAGAGGAAGATAAGTCAGGGCAGGAGGGAAATGTTTAAATAGTTTATGAAGAAAGGTGTGGAACTCAGTATCAATAAAGAACTACTGGGGGGAAAGAGAACTCAGCCAGAGAGGAAAGAGCAAAATGAGAAACCAGCCCCATGAGGGAGGGCACTGGGATAGGAGACACAGTGGAAATATTTTATTTTATTTTTTGGTTTTGTTTGAGACAGGGTCTCATTATGTAGTTTAGGCTGGCCTTAACTCATTATGTAGTCCATGCTGGCCTTGAACTCCTGGCAATCCTCCTGCTTCGGCCTCCCAAGTTGTGGGATCACAGGCATGCACCACTATGCTCATCACAATGGAAATAAGAACAGATACAGCTCACACCCAGCTAGGGAAGGGAAACTTGAAGTGGCAATACTGGGCACTATTCAAAGCCAAGACAGATGTGCTCCTGAGAACCATCCTTCCCCCCATTTGGGCACAGTCATGGGAGCCCAGAGCACCTGGGAACTGTCCTTATTCTCCACCCCACATAGGGGGCAGCCCTGTGCCAGGTGAGGGCGCTGAGACCAGCACAGAGGGAGACCTCTGCCCTCCACCCTCCACCCTCCACCCTCCACCCTCGACCCTACAAGGGAAGTATGGGGAGTGGCCCTATGACCCTGCACAGGGACTCTGGTGCTAGAGACACATCCAGGGTCAAGGTTGGCGGGTTGCAGAGTGGGGGAAGCACTTTGCTTGTCATATTTGGATTTACAAATGGTTTCAGACAGGTTTCTAACTCCACAAATAGTTTTTTTGGAAACTGGGGCTAATAACATCACAAGTTTCTGTATTCTAAGAAACTGTTTTCCTCCCCCGTTCTTCCTTCCTTCCCTTCCTCCTTCTCTTTTTTCTTCCTACCTCCCTCCCTTCTTCCTTCCCTGCCTCCTTCCTTTCTTTCCTCCTTTCTCACGCCTCTCTTTCAGGTGGGTTGGGAACAGGGGCCAGGTGCACCCACTAAGCACACTTTCCCAGCTGTGGCTGGTCATGGCAGAACTGGCTGAGACTGGAGCTGATGTGATGGGGAGGCTGGGCTTGGTGTATGTGTTTGAGGGGCCCTGGTGGGGCATTGATTCATCACAGATGTGGGCTATGGGGGTGGGGTGGGGTTACAGGGCCACTGTCTTCAGGATCCTGACCTCACTCAGGGGTTGGGCACTGTCCCCCAGCTGCAAGCCCTGGAGCCTGTAGATAGTTCAAACCCTGATGCCTGCCTTCCCTGGAGACTGATATATATCATCACGGCCTGGGCTGAGGGTCCCCAAGGCTGAAATAAGGAACTTAACCCACCCATTTAAAATAAGTGTGCAGGTTCACTGACTCCCATCTCTGAAAAAGACTTTTCAGGACACATCAGTAAAAAGAGGCAGGAGAAAGATTTATTAGAAGAGATGTAAGACCCAAGAGCAGAGTGCAGCTGCCTAGAGAATTGAGGCGCGATTGAGTTGGGGTAATTTAGGGCTCTTATCAATAAGGGTGTCCTGGGAGTGTATTTTCATCCACATGGGTTTGAAGTGGCGTTGGCACAAGACAGGCTGTCTCCACCGCAGCTGTGTTCAGGGCAGGAAGACGCGGAAGGAAAAGGTGATTTCTGGGTGAGGGAATGGGCGGACCCATCTACGGCCGAACGGGACGTGCCCAGGTGTGCTGTTTTGGGAGTAAATTCACTGGGCTTGTGTTCTGAAGCTGCAGGTTTTCTTTAAAAGTACCATTTTAAATTCTCAATTTCCTGGTCTGTTTTATTTCTTCTATCTTACCTCAATAGGACTGGAATGGTACTAGTCAGTCTTCATCACTACATAACAAATTGCTAAACTTGGTGGCCTGAAACCACAGCCACATATCACCTCAGTCTCGGGGGTGTCAGTTTCTTGCAGCTGAGACAGAATTCTTGACACCCACAATTTAAAAGAAGAGAGGTTTATTAGGGTTCATAGTTTTAGAGGTTTCGGTTCCAGTCAGTCGGCCCCACACAGAAGCTGCGTGGTGGCAGGGCCTGTGGCAGAGGAGAGCTGCTCGCATCATGGTGGCCAGGAAGCAGAGCATGAAGGGAGGAACCAGAGAGGGAGATAGGCCCTTCACGTCTCCCCCCACACCTGCCTCTTCCCACTGTACCCCACTTCCTAATAGCTCATCTGGCTACGTTTCTAAGAGTGTCCATGACCCAGTCACCTTCCAGACACAGGAGACTTTAGAGACCATTTTAGGTCTAATCCATAGAGGGGCTAGGAGGGGCTGGCTGGCAGGGTCCTCTGCTCAGGTCTCATGTGGTCCAGCAGCCATCTGCCTGGCTGTGCCCTCAGGGAGCAGAATGCTCCTCTTGGTAGCAGTGGGACCCAGGCCTTTGTCTCTACTGGCTTTTCTCAGTCTCTGCTGGCACATGCTCATCTCAGCCTCCACAGCTCCTCCTGCTCAAGCTCTAGCACACAGCCTGGCTGTCCTCTGCTTCAAGAATGAGAGGGGCATTTAGCTCCGCGTGTGTGTGCAAGCGCACACGCACGCACGCATGCACATCTGCATAACAGTGTCTGTAAGATCTATAAAAATAAACATATTATAGGACCCATGTGTTCGTAAAATGTAAGGTACATAAAGTCCTATAGTATATGCAGCAATGCATGTGTCCATAAAGTCACATAATCAAGAGTGACATCCATCACCTCAGCTGCTTCCACCTATTAGAAGCAAATCACAGCATACACCCCAACCAAAGGGAGGGTGTGACTTGCTGGGAGTTACCATAGGCTGGGGCAAGGGCATTGCAAATTTTTAAGCTCCCAGTAAGAATTTAAGGTGCAGCACAGAGCTGGAAAGCAGCAATCCAAGAACCTCTGCTGTTAGGAATCCCAGAGGCGAGCTGAGCCTCCTGCAGTCACAGTTCAGGCTCAGCCAACCACTGACTATCAGGCTGGATGCAGATTTGCTGAGAAAGATGGCCCAGAAGCATTTGGGTGCACTAGACAGAAGTTCAGAAAAAAAGGTTGAATACCCAGTTAATAAGACAAATCATTACAAACCTCTCTATCTACACTTCTGTATTATTAACAAAAGCAACTGCCATTTAAATAAAGAATTAGCATGCAAAGGAAATAAAATGAGAAAAACTAGGAAGAAAATACATTGAAGCTGCTGCACAGGGGTACTAAATTTGTTACTCGCAAGACCAAAAAATGTTTTCGAAGATGAGACATATACATTTGACAATGACTAAAAGAGCGAAGCATGAAGAGAGGAATTATAAAGGACAAACTGTTTAAAGTGTACTTAATTGACAAGATATCAGTTTGCAAAATTTATAAAGAACTTTACTTAGAGGGACAAGAATAAAGAATGTACTTTGGAAATATGGAAGACCATGAGAATAGGGACTATGTCCGGTGAGGTACAGTCGCTCCTGTCCTGACACTCCACTGCCCAAGCTGGAGCCCATGAAGCAGCAGGCAGTTCAGGGAGACATAGAGGCAGCCCAGCCTCTGGGGGGCACCATAGCTCCTTTCCTTTTGCAGATGGTGGTCAGACCAGGGTGACTCAGCACTTTCTCTTCCTGGAGCCAGGGCTCATGGGAGATATGCAAATGTTCCCAGGGCACCGTGGCAGCCCTTTAAAAGCCAATATGGGCTGGTCCCTTTGCTGGCTTCTGCAAGCTGAGGCTTAAGGTTCAGAAAGTGAGAGGCTCTGGGAAGTTCCCAGGGGTCTGGTTCTGGTCTAGGATCCAAGGGGGATCTGTCCCTCTGTTCTTCTGGCCCACATGGGGTAGGGAGGGTTCTGGCTTCTTTCAGGTCCGGAGCTCCACAGGCTGGGTCGATAGGTGTCAGGCTCTGAGAGGGTCAGGATGATGGATGAGTTTGGGGGTTAGCCAAGGGACCTCTGACACATATGGCTCAAGCTGAGTAGAGTCCAACAAACTAGTCTGAATCTCTCACCCCTTCACCTGGGGCCTCCAGCAGCCAGCCCACCAGGGGGTACCTAACTCTACTTCTTTGCCTTTCCAGATCTCCAGTGATTGAAGGAGTGCCCAGCTGGAGAAGTTTCCAGAAGCTCAGACTTCCCAACTTTGGCAGATTCCCAGTCAGCTGAGACCTACTTCTTCCATCTCCAGTTCCCTGAACAAGAAACACCTTCCTGCTCTTGCGCATCTGCCTCTGCCAACCTCCATCTAGCCTGGCCTCCAAGATCCCCAAAAAGCACACCCTGCTGTTCACCCCTAGAGGCATCAGTGTGGCCATGTGTCCCCCCGTGGTTGTGTACCCAAACAGAGAGGGCATGTCCTACCTCTACACTTCCTGGCTGTATGAGTTGCAGCATGGACTCCAACTGCTGACCTGCTTCATCTGCTTCAAAGATGCCTTCCTGAATTTCAAAGCTATACTACAGTCAGAGGACTTGGAGGATGAACACGGGGAGTTGGATGGGGAGGAGGAGCTGTCTGAGGAAGAATGGTCCTCAGAGTCAGAGCCTGGCACAGGGCCACAGCCAGGTCCCCCCATGGCCTCCACTCAGCAGATATCCCTGGACCTATGCCCCAAGAATGAAGACTGGACCCAGGCCCTTCCCTGGAAGATTCAAGGGCTTCTTCACTGCACCCACTGGCCCCGCCCATCTTCTCCTCGGCAGGTGTCTCCCTGTGCGACTATGGCCCCAGTGGAGCCCATGGTGCTGCAGCTGGGCACCATGGGACCAGTGGAGCCCCGGGAGGCTCAGGCCTGGTTGCTGGGCCTACAGATCTTCTTGGTGGTGGGCTATGAAGGCAACACTGTCCTCATGCGGAAGATGGCTCCACTTCAGGCCCTGAGGAGCCCAGGCCAGTCCTGGAGAGTGCTGCTGGAGCCCAGCTTCCAGGAGTGGAGGTCAACGCTCTACGAACCAACCCTGCTGCCATACCTGTTCCAGTATCCGTTGGGCATCCTGGAGAGAACACAGCTGAGTTATCGGATGTTCCCTGCATTCACAGTTCTACAAAAGAAAGGTTTCATAATCCTGTCCATTTCTCCCTGGAGTGCTAGGGAAGGAGGGGAGGGGTACTCAGCCTCTGCTCCATAGCCCCTCACTTGAGGCTGGGACCCCAGGTCGCCCAAGTTCGTGAGCTGTTTACCCAGGGAGCCTGGAGAGAGCCTGGCTGTCATGAAAGTCTTGGCCTGCGGGGGAGCTGTCCTGCTTTCAGCCCTTCAGCCCCAGGCCCTAGAATTTAAGAGCTGAGGCCAAGGTAGCCACCATTGCTCTGGCCACCCCAGGACACCAGAGACTGGGGAAGGCCAGCCATTGTCCTTTCTCAGCAGCCAGGGTAGCGGGTGGCAGGGGCTGGGAAGCTTCAGGTGGAAGAGAGTGTGGAGCAGCCTGGGGATGGGAGTTGGACTTGCTGGGACTGGAGGAGGGGTCACCTGCACTGATACTCAGGAGAAGGCTTCTCATCAGGAGACTTCCTACAGTTCAGAACATCACGCTGACCCAGAGGTGCTGACACGGGTGGGTGATTATGAAGTGGGGAAGGAAGTGCAGCATGAGGTACTGGCCCTGCCTAGCTATGCAGAGCGAAGTCAGGAGGGGCACAACCCTAGAATGCACTGAACTCTGGGCCAGCCTGAGGCGTGTGCTTGTCTTTGTTTGCACCTTCTCTGGGGACCACATGCTGGTCTGCAGTGGAGGAACCTGGTTTCAAGCAGAGTTTTTAAATCCAGTTTAGTTCTAGCTGTTTTGTATGTTGTTTTTAATTAAATTCGTAGAAGCTTTTATTCAAGCCTGTCCAGAGCTTTCTTACAGAACCCTTGTTGGTGGCCTTGTCCATGTCACTTCTGACGACACCAGCTTCACTGATCACTGACCAAGGTGGCTAGGAAATCCACAGCTTCAGGTTAGTCACTGGGCAGGCCTTTCCTTTCGCAGTTCCTGGGAATGCCTAAGGAGGGCTCAGAGGCCAGGTTCCTGGAAGGGAGCCTGCTCCCCCTTCACCTCGTATTCTAGAAACTGCGTGGAAATCCGGCTGAAACCACAGGCCCTGTTTGTGGTACTTGGAACCCAACATCTACATCTTCTCCAGTGTCTTGATGTAACAGTCAGTACCATGTGTGGAAAGTCAGCATTTCCCATCTCTGTGCTGAGGCGACGTGTGTCACAATGCATTTATGAAGCCCTCGTGGCACTGTGCACCGTTACAGACACCAGGGATAGAGCAGAGCACAGAGCAGATGCTCCATGGGAACAAGGTGGGAGGCGCTCAGTTCTGGGAGTCAGTTCCAGCGTGGTGGAGCCTCCAAAATCAGCCCCTCCATGATCCACCCACCTAGCCCCTCTAGCTCTGCCTCCTGGGTCCCAGGGCCTGTTGGTGGTGGCCAGATTTAACCACAAATTTTGAGATTATCTTTTTAAAAGTAACTTCCAGTATTATTTGCTTGTTTCAAATACATATTCATTGTCAGCAATTTAGAAGACAGATAAACAGGGAAGAGGAAAGTGAGCCTGGCCAGCTACACAACCGCTAAAGAGACCTGTCAGCATTTTGAGGTGGTCTGTTTCTTCTGTGAATATGTACAAGGGCTTCTGTTGTTTATTTAATTTTAAAAGCAAAAGCTAAAAACTGGTGTGGCAGATTACTTATAGGCAAGAATCAGCTGTGGGAGGGGGAAGAAGAGGAGAGCCAAAGCTGCCCCCCTGCAGTGGCTGGATCTGTGGCCAGCCCCATGCCAAAGGTGGACATTCTCATCTGGGCAGTTCTAGAACCTGGTTGGGGCCTAGGGTCCCCTCCTGAGCCCAGAATCGCTGACCTTCAAAGCTCCTGGGCCAGTGGGACGACGGCCCCTAGCAGGAAAGAGCGAGACAGTGTGGGCTCCAAAGCCTCTCCCTGGAGACCAGGGAGATGTAGAACTTGAAAGCAATCTTGCTATTCTGCAGGTGATTTGAGTCCACTCAAAGATGGGTTTCCTGCCAGCTGGAAACCAGTAACGGGCTAGGGAGGCTGAGCAAGATCCCAAAGAGATCATGGTAGAGCTCTGCTGGAATGGAATTTTAGTCAACGATATGGGTAGGGGCCCCTGTAAACTCAGCAAGGAGACCCCAGTTGAGTCTTTGACACAGCCCTGAGTAGCCCCATGGGGGAGAAGCCGAAGGAAGGGAGGTCAGGAGGCCCCAGACAGGGTTAAGAGGTTGAGAACGCTGCCCAGAGACCCTACCCGGCTTGGGGAGGTGATGTCTCCCCTCCCCTGCTGCTGGCTGTTTTCAGAGATACCTGGGCGCCTAAGGGTTGGGGCTCCTGGACTATCTCCCACATGCCCTGTTCCTTGGGCTTCAGCAGCTGGGGAGGGACAGAGGCTGCAGCTGCTACACCCCACCCCACCCCAGTGCAGGCTACTGCCACTGATTTAGGGTCCATGCCCTGGGTCTGGTGGGTTTGAGGGACTCCTCCCAGTGTTTTTTGTTTTTTTGAGAGGGAGTCTTTTTGGAACAGGGTTTCACTGTGTAGGTCGGGCTAGCCTTGAACTCACTTTGTAGCCCAGGCTGGTCTAGAACTTGCGGTGATCCCCCTGCCTCAGTCTCCCGAGTGCTGGGATTATGGATGTGCGCCCGTGAGCCTGGCTCACCTGTTTTAAAGGCTTGGCCTCTGTGGGTAGCTGGCTGGGCTCTGTGGTCCTATAATCTCATCAGCTGGAGACCCCTCGTCAAATAATCTGAATGTAAAAGACAAAGCTATGCCTTGTGGTCAAATTTTGCTTTTCTCTCATCACCCTGCAAATGGCACCAACTTACAAAGACTAAAAGAAGCTAAAAAATGTCAAAAATTAGACATTCTGGTCAAATCAGAGTCATGTTGCACCACAGTGCCCTCGGAGCCAGTCCCTCTCCTGTCATCTGGGTGAGAGGACTGCACATCATGAATAACACATTTTAGGGGGTTAAAAACAACTTTAAATATTGATTCCAGTTTAGCTTGTTCATCGTGAAGTAAGAGCAAAATCAAAGTTGTATGCAGTGTACAAGGCGGGAGCCCTAGTGGCTCGAGGCCATGACATCCTAGCTCAGTCCTATCCCATGAGAACCCTGAAGATCCGGTGCTTGTCAAGTCCCCACTCACCATGACTCACAGGGAATACAAAGGACATCCTGGCAGCCTGGAACCTCTTCTTTGCTCACTGGCCTGACCCTGCTCCTGTGAGTGGCAAATGCCCTCCTCTCTCCAGAGAAGACAGCTGGGAAGGTGCTGCAATGCAGGAAAACACAGCTATGACGGCCGCAGGAGTAGGCCCCCTGGGCTGAGATCCACAGTCAGAAAAAATGATGCCCAGAGAGACAGGAAGGACCCAGCCCTCAGACCTTTGGCCAGGGAAGACTATGGGACCCAGAGCTGGAGCAGGGGCCTTGTGTCTTGGGATCTCAGGGACCCACCTGGGGAGGGTAGAGTGGCCCAGTCTCACTCAGCCACAACTTAATGTTTGTCAATGGCCCCCCCTGGTGGTTGTTTCAGGTGCCTCATACACCCCAAATCTTCCAGGCCTGTAATGGAGAAAGCAGGGTCCCATCCTCAGACAGGCTCCTGAAAAGAACTGAGAGGCAACGGTGAACCAACATCTGGTCCCCAGGATCTCCTGAGACTGCTCCAGTCTCCAGCCTGCTCTTCCCTGGCTTGGGATCCATGAAGTAAGGCCTCTCTGCAGGGCCCAGGCCTCCTTCCAGAGACCCTGGCAGGGGCTAAGTCTCCCAGTGTGCTCCTACCATCTGCTCAATTCACTCCACGCCCTACAGGCTAGTTGTGAATGTGCCTTGTGTGTGTGTGCCCATATGTGTGCATGTGGTGTGTGTCTGTGTGCTCATGTGTGTGTGCATGGCATGTGGACATGTGTGTGGCTGGTATACCCATGTGTATGTACAATGTGTTTGTGTGTGCACACATGTGCACTTGCTGATGAGTGCAATTCCCAAGGCTCCCAGAAGCAGGCACCGGGTCCCAGGGTCCCAATCTGGTGTGGCCACTGTTCTGCACATGCCTGGTGAAGGTCAGGGGACAGCAGTGCTAGTGCCTGCAATGTGCTGTCCAGGGTGAGAGGACCAAGCACCAGGCATTGGCTGAAGCTGCCTTCAGGGATGGATGACATGGGACAGTCATGTTCACCTGTGGTTTCCATGGCTTCTGAAATATACTCACACTGTGGTGGGAAGGGCTTGCCACACAGCTGCTGTCTCATGCTGCTGCCTGCCCTGTGCCTATCGTCCAGGTTGAGCTAAGCCACAGGCAGCCATCAAGAATGGCCAACGAGACTGCGGCAGTGGGCCCAGGAGGGTGTCACTCAGGGCAGCTGAGCAGGGGCAGGCTAGTCCGGACCAACGCGGGTCCCGAACCCTGTACCATCACCCAGGGCTCAGCCATATCACCTGCTCCTTTACCTCTTCCTGTGACAAATGAGCTCCTCACCCCAAAAGCAGACCAGTAGACCAGTGTCTGACCACAGTGGCCTCCACAAATGTCCCTGCTGGCAGGACTGATGACTGCTGGTAAGAGCCCTACATCCAGTGCGCAGAGCCAGCATCTGTAGGAGCAGCTCCAAGGGATAGTCACACCTATCTGGACTCACACTATGCCGGTAAGCCTTGGGCCTGGCGAGGTGCAAGTGAGGGTCCAGAGGCCCCTCCCCAAGCAGAGCTGCTTCATCCTGCAGAGCCCTGGTGTGGCCTGTCTAGGCTCTGAAAATTGCGTGTTCCCAGCAGTGGGGATGCAAGAAGGCTTGTGATATGGGTGGTGCTGCAGGCAGCCAGCACGCGGGGCAGCATGTTTGCGTCAGGCTGGAATAGTTGAACGGAGTCATTCTGGCACTACATAAAACACCAACTCTATAATACCCTCCCTTTAAAAATAAAAGTCACATGGGAAAACGTCACCGTGCCCTTGTGTGGCCTTCTGAAGACAGGTGTGGCCCGGGGCACACACATGCCCTCACTTCCGGGAAACCCAGGTTTCCAGATATCTGGCTCTGGGGCATTTGGCCCCAGGTGATGCAAGAAATTGTGGTTGATTCAGTACCATCCATCCTGTCTGTAAAGCACATAGTTCATCTATTAATTCTCCTCGATGGGTGTGGGGGACACTGATGCATAAAAAAGTCTAGTTGTAAGAGTTATAATCAGGAACCCCCAAGAAGATGAATGTGACACACGCTGCCCACATATCTGAGCTGCACACGAGGCCAGGAAACCAGGATGCGCTACCCATGTGCCAGGAAGTGGAAAAGCCAGGAATGTGCCGGGGATGGGGTCGGGGGCAAGGTCATAAAATGCTGACTGAGCCCACTGGGAGGTTAAGAAGGAAGCAAGCAGAAGAGGTCTCTGGTCGGTAACAGGGGAAACTAGGTGACAGGTGAATCCTGATTCACTGTTCTCTCTGTGCTAATGCCTGAATTTTCCACAGCGAAGGCTGACTTTGGGCCATCAGCCCCTCCATAGCTTCAGCTGGGGCTGACTCATGGACCTGTGTGAGTGGACCTCCCCCGGGCACCTGGCCTGGCCCTGGTGGGCCTGGAAGGCATGGGCTGGCACATGGCAAGGACCTGGGGTGGGGTGGGGAGCATCACAATAGGAGATGGGGCCTCCCCAGAAAGCACCTGATTTGTGTTTAGAAACCAGATGCAGAGTGAGAGCTTCTACGCCTCTACCCACAGGTCTGTGGTTCCACATCTACACCCCTGAGTCTCTGAGGCTCCGTGGGG